TTATACAAGGCAGCAGTGGAATTAGGAGAGAGGGAGACGGGGACCTGACAGCAGGAGCACACAGGTGTACTAATCCTTCAACCACAGTCTGTTCCAGAGCTCTAGCCAAGTGTCCTTGAAACCAACTGGCTGGGCCCTGACCAGCCGGGTGTCTTTGTAGTTGTTTGTACTTCAGCAGTGTCGGCAGGGCAGCTGAGATCAGGGCCCTGGTGTGCCGGGCACCTCGCCACTCCCTGCCCTGGCCCAAGGTGGCGCAGGAAGTCCCTGGCGGAGCTGGGAACTGAGCCAGGTCAATGCCATTCCCACAGGCTGCTCTTCCTCTGTGGAGCTCCTCCCTTCTCAAAGCCCTTCTGCTTGGGGAAAGGATGCAGCAGCTCCCCACTCAGCTGGGTGCTACTAGGAGGGAAAGGGACCCCACCACGTGCTCACTGAGCATGTGCACTGTTGCCCCCAGGAGCACAGGAATCCATTTGAGGGGTGACATGCACCCAGTCCCCCCTTCTCCATAGCTCAGCCCTGCCCCTGGGCTGCCTGGTGCCACCTTCCTGCTCTGATCGCCTCTTCGTCCAGGCGCCCACCTCGGAGCGGTGCGGAGTCCTGGGCAGTAGCAACTAGCCCCGTTTGGGAAGCACGCTCCTCCTAGGATACCAGGCACTTAGGTATGTCTACACTGCAGCTAGAGCCCTGCGGCTGGCCTGGGCCGGCCAACTCGGCTGGTGGAGCTGCTTCATCGTGGGACTGGAGCCCCTGGGACCCTCCCATCTCACAGGGGCCTAGAGCCTGGCCTCCAGCCCAAGCCAGAACAGCTACTCTGCAAATAAACAGCCCTTAGCCCCAGTCAGCTGCGGGTTTTTAATTGCAGTGTAGACCCACTCGTAGAGACCCGATCCCTGCTAGGGGATCCCTGAGACACCGAGAAATATCCACTTTTCCCAAAGAACGAGAGAGTGCAGCCATTTCATTGCTTCAGGGCTGAGAAACTGACAACTTGGGCAATCCGCTTAATTCCGGTGGTGCACGCTTCCCCTGGGCTGCCTGAGCCATTGCTCACCTGGAGCCCCCCTTTGACGCCCCCATGCCGGGGAGTGCTCTGAGATGCAGCCATCAATCTTCTTTCACTTGGGTCCTTCAAGAGGCTCCATTGAGCTGCCGTCCTGCCCCTAGAGATCCTTTCTTGGTACTGCAAAAAGAACAGGAGTCCTTGTGGCACCTTGGAGACTAACACATTTATTTGAGCATAAGCTTTCGTGGGGCTACAGCCCACTTCATCGGATGCATAGACTGGAATATACAGTAAGAAGATCTATATACATACAGAACATGAAAAGGTGGAAGTTGCCCTACCCACTCTAAGAGGCTAATTAATTAAGATGAGCTATTAGCAGCAGGAGAAAAAAAACTTTTGTAGTGATAATCAAGATGGCCCATTCCAGACAGTTGACAAAAAGGGGTGAGGATACTTCATATGGGGAAATAGATTCAATTTGTGTAATGACCCAGCCACTCTCTCTTGGCCTTCCTGGGCTTGAAGAAGTTACGAGGTGGAGATCTAGCTGTATTTCTCCAGTTCTTCTCCTTCTGGGTTCTGTCCACATTGCTGCAGCAAAGCGTGCCGGGGAGTGAATTGTGATCGTCCGTCGTGTCTCTAGGAGTGCTGGAGCAGTTTCCCAAGGGGCGCGGAGACTTGAAATCTCTCTGGCTCAGCCGCTAGTTCTTGGGCTGGGTGCGGTGTCTCTAACTTGCCCTGTGCAGGAGGGCAGACTATATTATTGTAATGCTTCCTTCTGGCTTTAAACTCTGTGGGCCTGATTCCCTCCTGTGCCTGCTTTGTGCTCGCTTGGGCCTGGTACCACTTTGCAATCCCTTTACACTGGTGTAAGTGACTGCCCCAGGGGTAGGGCAAGGGAGAACTGTACTGTGTGGCGTATGGTGCCTAGCCCAATGGCCCTGATCCCTGATTGGGGCCCCGGTGCCACTGGGGGTGAGTGTGTGTGTGTGTGGGGTGGGGGTTGGACAGTGACTCTGCCACCTTCTGTCTGATCAAATCTATACGTCAGAGCACTCTCCTCACCTTATCTGGGGACTTCCTTACCCAGCGCCTGCTCTCCGGCTTCAGCACCGAAAACCTCTCGTGGAGGTTAACAGCTCGCTAGCACGAGTCTCCAGCAGAGCCCTGCAGTCTGTTTGGCATCTGATCTCCATTGCCTAGGGTGGTTTAGTGTCTCCTGCCCTTCTGTGTAGCTCAGTGGCTGACCTATTTCTTCCTTTCGATCGGAGAATGCGGAAAGGCAGGTTCTGCTCTTCGCTTGAAGCTGCTGACGGAAAAGAGACGAGTCCGGGAACGTGTAAGATGCCAAGCAGCTGCCCAGGGCTCTCAGAGAGATGTCTCCTCTCCCCCGGCTGCGTGTTGGCAGTGAAACCGAGGCACTTTCCCAGTGCTTTGTGGTGGAGGGAGAGGAAGGGAGGCTGGAGCTGTTTAAAGTGCGGGTTCCTGGGGCTGGCTTCCTCTAGGGTTTTTGTGGTTGGCGGAGTGGCTTCTTTGCTCAGCCGCTCTGCAGATGATTCTGGGAGGTTGATAAAGCAAGAATTTCCTCTTGTAGTGTATCCTGTCTCCCGCCTCCCATCTGCCTTGTCGATCCAGTCTGCAGCCTCCAGCTCTTTTACAGTTGTGGGGTGGCCAGCGGTGGGGCAGGGTTTGTAAGGGAAAGGGACAGGGGAGTGGTGTCTAAAAGGGCTTTTGTGCAAAGAGCCTGTTTGGAACCAGTGGGCCGGGGCCGACTTCTCATAGCCTGGCTAAAATCACCACAGGGATTTCTGGGGCTCCTCTCCTCGGATTTATACGCTACCCCTGCACGGTGCCCACTCGGTTGCAGCTCTCACTCCCAGACCCCCTGGGTTTGGTTATGGCCCCTGCCCTGCCCAGCACCCAGATAATCGCTCAATGCCTACTGGGAGGAGGCAGCGTTGCCTGCGGGTTAGGGCGCTGGGCTGCGAGTCAGAAGCCGTAGGTTCTGCTCCCAGCTAGGTGACGGTTGGCAAGTCCCTCCTCCTCTCTGCACCTCTGTGTGTGTGTGTGGGGGGGGTGGGGGGGGGGGGCGGGAAGTGTCTTGTCTGCGAGTTCTTCAGAGCAGGGACTGCCTCTCTCTGCGGCTGTGGGGCACCATACAGCGCCCTGCTCTGGCACCGGGGGGCTTGTGTGTGCGACCAGGGGACAGGTAAGAGATTCTCTGCAAATCACTTGGCTTCGAAGAAGGGCCAGATGGGAACGGTGCTGTGCGATATTTTTGTTATCCAGAAACATTTCCACTTTCAGTGGCCCTGCTCTGCAAACACTGACAGATCCGACTGGCTGAAACCCTCTGCTCTGCTTGAGTGCAGCAAGGGAGCTCAGAGTGGAAGTGTCATGCATCCCTGGAGCAGCCCTTCGGCTGGAGGGCTGCACGGTGCGAGGTAGCCGAAGGCTCACCATGCGATCCGATGGGCCACACGCTGCAGCGGTAGACAGAAGATCCAATTGGTATTTCAGAAAACATTTGAGGCGGGGGGGGAGACAGGGCCACTGATGATTCACATCTACAATCCTCAGTTGTTCTCTAGCCAGCGAGATCCTTTGCCCACCTTCCACAGACTTGGGAGCTCTTCCAGCTGCTGTATTAGATGCATTTATTATTCATCTTAAATGTTGTTGCCATATAAAAATGGGTCAAATGATTAATTTCACTGTACGGCTAACAGCGGTGAAAAGTCCGAACAGAATTCTCAGATGCACAGATGAACCCGACAGGTCGGGGAAGAGTCGAGGGAAGTCCCGCCTCGCCGATGCGTTCGAGTTCTCTCAGGGAATCAGCCAGCATGTGGCCAAGGGGGATCCAGTGGCTAGTGTACTTGGCCTTTCAGAGAGCCTGACAAGGTCCCTCCCCAAAGGCTCTTAGGGAAACGAAACAGTCCTGGGAGAAGAGGGAAGGTCCTCTCGTGTTTAGTCTGCTCGGCGGTCTCTTTGCTTGGCTCGGGTTGGCAGGGCCAGCAGGGGCCTCCTTTCCATTGTGGTGCCTGGGCAGATGGTCTGAACTCGGGGCTTTCCTTGCTTTGGTGGGTTTAAATCCATTTCGTGCTGCAGCTGTCGCTCAGTTTCTTATGGCTTAGCTGATACTTGCAGCACTACCCAGTCTAGCCGTTCTACCCCTGGGGAAAGGTCTGACCTGCTTTTACCTGAGGAGGGGTCTTTGGGTGAAATGTGACAGGTGGAGCCGGAGTGTGGGACTGAACTGTTATCTGTCAGTCACGTGGGCAAATTAACCTTCCTGGACCTCAAGGGGAATCTCCAGTTAGCTGTTATCAGTACAGAGCATGTGACACACAGTTGTGCATTTCAGTGGCACTCGTTCTTTGCACCCTCAGTACAGTCACCACCTCTGCGTCTCACACGAGTTACACTTGGCACTTTGCTTTAAATACACAAACTTCTGATCAGGACAAAACTAGGAACCGACCCTGCAAAGATTTTACATGCAGCCTAAGAAACCAGTGCCTGCGACTACTGCCTGGTCTAGCCGCCGCCAGTCCTGTTCCCTGATCCGCACAGCGTGGCTCCCTGCGGCAGTCACACCGAAGGGGGCTGGACTTGTGATTAAAGCTCCAGCGGGTCAGAATGCAGGGTTCCCGTCTGTGGGAAATTGGCAGGGGTAGGGGTTAATTGGGTTTGATTCCGAATCGAAAGACCTGGGTGTCAGGCTGCCGAGCAGCGAGCAAGGCAGACTGCCCCAGAGCCTGGAAAACCCACTGGCTGTGGGTTCAATCCCCACTTCTGCTGCAGACGCCTCACATCTCCCCTGTGAAATGGGGAGGAGTCAGCCGCTGTCTGCGTGAGGGGGCTCCAGGTGAGAAGTGAGGCCCTTTGTACAGCGGCAGGCCTGCTACTGAGAGTAGCATTGCAAAGAACTTACAAACTCAATCGTTCTCCAGCATCTTGCTAATGTTTCCCTTTATTCTCCCTGTTTTAGGAGGCCTGGAAAATGGTACTGCACCCACCTGGCCTGCGGCTGGAGCTATCGTCCCTGGAGCAGCACCAGCTGGGAGCGAGGGCTGAGCAGTGACTTTCCCCTCAGACCACGTCCAATCTGTGGCCTCCAGGTAAAAGGCTGCAGGCTCCCGAGGAGCGAGGATGGCAGCATGGGACGAGCAGGCAGAAAGTCCTAACGCTGGCTCTGGCAAGCCCTGGCCTTTCCGCTCTGCCCCCGCTGCACCCAGCAATGGCTGAGGGGCCCACGGCGCACCAGAGATGAGTGGAACTTTCCCCCTGGAAGTAGGGTTTAGTGCTGACCTTGGACTATGACATCCTATCGACCCATTCCGCATGCAAGTGTGGATGTTGGCGGACCGGCGCTGAAGGGGGGCGAAGGTCTGGCTGGCACGCGGGGCGATTACTTCTCGCCAGGGTTCTGGGCGCAGAATGGCAGCACCTCGCAGCCAGCAGGGGACGGTCTGCCCGGGCCACGGCCCACCACCACCACGCCTGCCATGCCGAAGATGGGCGTGCGCGCCAGGATCGCCGACTGGCCCCCCAAGAGAGACGCACTGAAGGATCCGGCCGCTCCAAGCCCCTCGAGGGACATGGAAGCATCGACGGGCATCAGCAGGACTTTTCTTTCACCCAAGGGCTTTCAGAATGGGCAGCAGCCGCCTCCCACCAGCCTGGGCTCCTCGGGGCTCAGGGGCTTGCACCGGCTCTCCAGGAGGAGATCCAAGGACGTGGAGTTCCAGGAGGGTTGGCCTCGATCGCCTGGCAGGACCTTCGTCCCGCTGCGCAACAGGAGTAACAGCGAGATCACCCTCAGCGAGTGTGACTTGGAAGAGACCCTGGAGCCCCGTGGGGCCAAGCTGGGGAGCGGCCTGCCCCTCTTCCGCGAGTACGGCAGCACCTCCTCCATAGACGTGCAGGGCATCTCGGAGCAGAGCTTGTTCGACATGCTCCGTGAGCTCCGCGCCGAGAAGCCGGCCCAGCGCCGCCTGGCGCCCGAGAAGCCGAGCGACCTGCTGCGGGCCGACGCCAGCACAGCCTCCAGCCTGCACGTGGCTGGCAGCGCCAAGGCGGACGTGAGGAACGGCCTGGGGCTCCTCCCTGAGGACTCCCCCACTCAGCCGAAGGAGAAGCCCCGCAAGAAGGGCCCCAGGGGAGAGGCGGGGGGAGACTCCATCTTCAAGAAGCTGCGGAGCAGCCGGAGCGATGGGGAGCCCGGGAGGGCCTTGGTGGAGCAGGAGGACGGTGGCAAGGCCTGGGTCTGCCAGAAGAGCTTTGCCCACTACGACGTGCAGAGCCTGCTCTTCAACCTCAACCAGGTGGCAGCCAACCGGGCGGTGGTGGCGCAGCGGAGGAATACCACGACGGGCGCCTCTGCCGCCTCTGCCGTCTCGGCTGCCCTCTCCCGGGCGTACGGGCTGGGGGGCCTGGACCCGGCCTTCGCCAGCACTGAAGACCTCAACTACAAGGAGAACCTGGAGCACGACCTCGGGGACAACAACAGCAACGACCTGCTGCTCAGCTGCCCCCACTTCCGCAACGAGGTGGGCGGCATGTGCGAGCGCAACGTCAGCTTCTCCAGGGCGTCGGCCGGCTCCCCCAGCGGGGCCGCGGGCGAGGGAGGCTTCCTGGAGCCCACCCTCAATGCCTACTGCACCAACGCCAGCATCTCCGTGCTGGAGGTCCCCAGGGAGCTGCAGAGGAGCCCCAGCCGGCTAACACGCTACAACGTGGAGCACGTCGACCTGGGGGCCCGCTACTACCAGCTCTATTTCCACGGCAAAGGTAACGCCCCCGCAGCGCCTCGGGCAGTCCCCTGCAGCCCCGCAAAGCTGGGGCGTCCTGCCGCTCGTCCCGTTCGGCTCCCCAAGGTCAGGCAACGTCTGCGTTACCGGACTGGCTCTGGCCAGCCCAGCCTCCTGGCTCCCAACACAGGCCAGCGCCTGCAGGAAGTGCTAGAGACCCCGTAGTGATGGGATTGCCTGCCCCCCTGAGAAGGGGTCTTCCGAACCCTCACTAGTTAATCCTAGAATATCAGGGTTGGACGGGACCTCAGGAGGTATCTAGTCCAACCCCCTGCTCAAAGCAGGACAAATCCCCAGATCCCTAAATGGCCCCCTCAAGGATTGAGCTCACAACCCTGGATTTAGCAGGCCAATGCTCAAAGCACTGAGCTGTGCCCTCCCCCAGGCCTGGGCTGCTAACGCCTTGCTCTGGGCATTCTTTGGAACTATGTAGATACCCAAGCCGGAGCCCTGCTACGTTTTTGGCCTCAGTGATAACTGTGGCAATGAGTTCCACATGCTAATTGTGTAGAGAGAGTCACTTTCTGTATCAGCCTTCCGTGTTCTGCCTTGTGTTGGCACAGGCGAGGGGTGAACAGCTCTGTCTGATCACCTTGGGGCTGAAATGTTACCGTGTTTGTCGTTGGGACTCTGTGCCCACAGCCTGGCTTATTATTGTAGGGTTGTTCCCAAGGGGTCTAATGTGGGGCTGGGCTTATGGAATTTATTTTAGTGGGGGGCTGGTGGTTTGGGGCTTTTATAACAATAACCCTGCAGGGGCGGATGGGCGTCTGTACATCTCCTAGGGTAGCTCGTGGGCAGGGCAGAGTTTGGTCCTACCGAGTTTGCCGGTGCTGAGCATTGCACCAGAACTAGGATGTCCCTCGTGGCACGTACTAAGGTTTATGTTCCCGAGTGCTCTAAAACTAGCTTCCATACGCTATTGCGTAGTGTCAGGGCTCCGTAACGGCGAGCTCCGCTCTGACGGGCCCATTGCTCTCTGCTGAGGGCACGTCAGTGACTCGTCTCCGGGATGCCGTTCGCTCGAACAGCCCCGGTGTCCGGCTCGGGAGAGAGCAGTGCCCGCCCTCTTCTCTGGTAAGGCATCTCTTGCTTTTTCAGAGCATTCCAACTACTTTGGAGTGGATGAGAAGCTGGGACCAGTGGCTGTGAGCATCAGGAGAGAGAAGTTGGAGGATCATAAAGACTACGGGCCCCAATATCAGTACAGGATTATCTTCCGGACCAGCGAGGTACGTCATCTTGTCCGGGGCGGCCACGGCTGCGTTCTCCTCCAGAGAGTGCGTGCGGGTCTGTATTCCAGATCTAGGGGGACTTTTGAAACAGCCTCTTAAAACCAGGTCTGTGGGTCCTGTGTCCGAGGGCCCCCCAGCCTCGTCCCGTGGGGCACAAGCAGGGTTCTGGTACGTGGAGTGTGGCTCCGGGTCCCTCCCTGCAGGTGTGGGGCAGGCAGCAGGGCTTGAACCGCTAGAGGACCAGGCCTGGACTCAGCAGAGCACTACTAGAAGCTGCGTAAGTGCTTTGCTGCAGGTGGGTCAGGGAGCTGCCTCCTGATACCGGGCAGGGAGGTTTCCCCCCGAGCACTGCGGTCATAGGGCTAGAGTGGGGGCCCGGACTCTGGGACGTGGTTACTGCAGTGTGCATGCCAGAACCCTGGTTCAAGCACCGGTTGGAAAACCCAGGGTTCAAGTGTAGACGCAGGTTCCCTAACACAGGTCAGCTGACTCGAGTCCTCTAACCCTGGGACTTTTAGAGCAGCCCTTGAAATCTGATTGGCCCCCAGCAGAGGGCGCCGTGGCTTGCCATCGGCTCGACAAGCAGCCTGCTCACGCAGCCGCAGCCCGAACCATGTCCGCGTTCAGATATCCCCGCGACCGGCCGTGCCACCTGCTCCTGCCACGGCCCTGTGCAGCGCCCGGCGCGTCTGGGGGCTCCCGTTCCTGGTGCTCTCCTGGTCTGGCCTCTGCAATAGCGATTCTTAGTTCTCTACGCAGGATTTCTGTGGCGAGCTGGTGGCTGGCGTCCTGTGCCAGGAGGTCTGCACGGAGACACGCCGGTTCCCAGAGAACAGGATTCTAACGCATCTTCTCCTCTCCCCACTTCCATGTGTTTGGTGCAGCTCGTGACCCTGCGAGGCGCCATCCTGGAGGACGCGACTCCCACCACCACCAAGCAGGGGACGGTGCGTGGCCTCCCCCTGAAGGACGTGCTGGAGTACGTGGTCTCCGAGCTGAACATCCACTGTCTGCGGCTTGCCATGAACACGCCGAAAGTCACGGAGCAGCTCCTGAAACTCGACGAGCAGGGGGTGAGTCGTGTGCGGCAGACGGGCAGTGCTGAGCTGTGCTTTGGGCCCTCTGGAACGGGGGTGAGGCTGGCTCGGGGATCGGCATTGAGCTCGGGTAGAAGAGGGGCACAGCATGCAGCCAGTCTGCCAAGGTAGAGAGCTGGTCTCGGAGCTCCGTCCCCTTTTTGATGGGACTCGTGCTCCTAAGTCACCTAGGCCCTCTTGAGCACTCCATCCTCTGGGCTGGGCTGAGCTCGGCCAGGCGTGGGAGATTGGTGAATGAGCAGGCAGCGTCTCACACCCCTTCCCACCCCGCAGCTCTGCAGGAAGCACAAGGTGGGGATCCTGTACTGCAAAGCAGGGCAGAGCTCCGAGGAGGAGATGTACAATAACGAGGAGGCAGGGCCAGCCTTCGAAGAGTTCCTCTCCCTCGTCGGGGAGAAGGTCTGTCTGAAAGCCTTCAGCAAGTACGCTGCCCAGCTGGACACGAAGAGTAAGTCCTGGTGCGTGCGGTGGGGGCAGCGGCACCCGTGGCTGCAGGGCGTGGGCGGAGCTCGCCGGCACAGCGGAGCTCTGCGCATGGGTTCAGCACGCAGAGCGTGTTGGCTGGCTCTCCCCTCACGGAGTCTCTTCTCTTGCTCTGCTTCGCAGCTGACTCCACCGGCACCCACTCTCTGTACACCACGTATCAGGACTACGAGATCATGTTCCACGTCTCCACTATGCTCCCCTACACACTCAACAACCGGCAGCAGGTAAACGGCCCTTCGGCTGGCAGAGCCTGCGGGCCTCCGGCATGCTGAGTCGAGTTGTGCTGCGCACCGGGCTGTTCTGATAACCAGTGTCCGCATTCCCCTCACTTCCCGGGCAAATGTGTTAACATCCTCCACCACCCGGGAAGTTTGAAAAGGGTGGTCTGGGTCAGGATCCTGCAGATGCGTAAGGAAGGAGAAGCATCCATGCTCTGTTGCACGCTCTTCAGTGGATTCATCCTCACATGCCCCGGGAGGGGGGCAGTGCTGTCTTCCCTCCTGGACGCGCTGCCGGGAGCTGACGCACAGCCTGACTGAATGACTTGGCCAAGGTCACGTGGGGAGTCTGTGGCAGAGCTGGGAAGAGAACCTGGGTCTCCTGCCCACTGGCCCATCCCTCCTCTGTGCTGGGCTGGGGGTGAATAGCAGCTGGGATCCTGACGATCTGGGTTTGTAATCGGAGCTAGACGCCCGACTGCCCTGGCTGTCAGGAACTGGCCTGTGAGTCTCGATGCCCTTCCCCGTCTGCAAGGGAGCCGTGCCGTGGGCACAGAGAGCTCGGCTCGAGAGCAGTCTGCCGGGCTCCCCACAAAGCCAGCGGTGATTGTGGCGCTGGCACGGCAGAGTCCTGCCCCGTGCTCTGGCGGGGAGAAAGCAGCAATGTGGGAGGTGACGGGCGATCCCGCTCTCCATGCAGCTGCCAGCGGCCCAGGCTCTCCAAATGGAATTCGCTTGAACGTTTCAAATCTTGTGGCTACGTCTCTGTGCTGGGTCAGGCCTGCTTTTCCTGCCCGCTTCTCCTCTCGCCGTCTGACCGGATGGCGAGGTCCCCCGGAGCCTTTGTCGCCTGCTTGTTACCGCTGTCTGTACTCGGCACCCGGGCACTAACACGTGTTTGTTCTTACCTCGGTAGCTACTAAGGAAGCGGCACATAGGAAACGACATAGTCACAATCATCTTCCAGGAGCCTGGAGCGTTGCCTTTCACCCCCCAGAATATCCGCTCCCACTTCCAGCATGTCTTTATTATTGTCCGAGTCCACAGCCCTTGCACTGATAACGTTTGCTATAGGTAAGCCTCGCCTGCTGCTAACCCACCTGCCAGCTTGGGTTCTGTGTCACCGTCCGCGCCCCGGACGGTGCTGTGGGCTCCTCCGCTCAACTGGCCGCAGGTGCCGGGGTGGAAGGATGCCTGTTTGCGCTGGCGAGGCGCTGACCCCAGGTCTCAGGTTAGGTTGAGCCGGTTGGCTGTGGGATGAATTCTACAGGCAGTCACTGGGTGGGGGAGGTGTCAGTGGCTTGAGTTAATGTTTCTCCTCCCGTTCTGCTCTGGGAAAGAAGTTGCAGCTGTGACAACTCCTAGCATCCAGAGAGCAGCTGCCAGGCGCCGGGAATCGCTCCAAGTAGATTGGGACCACGGGGACTGGTGCCTTTCAGTGGCCTGTTTCAGAGCAGCAGCCGTGTTAGTCTGTATCCGCAAAAAGAACAGGAGTACTTGTGGCACCTTAGAGACTCTATATGCATCCGAAGAAGTGGGTTGTAGCCCACGAAAGCTTATGCTCTAATAAATTTGTTAGTCTCTAAGGTGCCACAAGTACTCCTGTTCTTTTTTCAGGGGCCTGTGTTTCAGCCGGTGCCGAGCACCCGCCCCCCAAAAGGCGTCTTCCTTCGGGCACACAGAAATCCCTAGCTGGTTTTCACACCTAGCTCGATCCGGAAAGACACATGATGTGTCCTGAAGCGGCTGCGCTAGCAGGAGACAGCTCTTCTAAGCGGTTTTTCTCCTCCCCTTCGTTCCCTAAGCGTGGCTGTGACCAGATCCAAAGATGCTCCACCCTTCGGCCCCCCCATCCCCAGTGGCGTCACCTTCCGCAAGTCTGACATCTTTAGAGATTTCTTACTGGCCAAGGTGATCAATGCCGAGAACGCCGCGCACAAGTCCGACAAGTTCCACACCATGGCGACACGCACCAGGCAGGAGTACCTGAAGGACCTAGCGGAGAACTGCGTCACTAACACGCCCATCGACTCCACGGGGAAATTCAACTTGATCTCCCTGACTTCTAAGAAGAAGGAGAAGATGAAGGCGCGGGTGGGGGCAGAGCAGTACAGCAGCGGGGCCATCGCCTGGCGCGTCTCGGCCCAGGACTTTGCCCAGGGGGTGGAGATCGAGTGCATCTTGGCCATCTCCAACGAGTTCATCGTCCTGCTGGACCTCAGCACCAAGGAGGTGGTGTTCAACTGCTTCTGTGGGGATGTGATCGGCTGGACTCCCGACCCCGGCACCCTCCGGATCTTCTACGGCAGAGGGGACCACGTCTCCATCCAGGCCGCGGACAGCAGCCCCGAGGACATCAAGGAGATCGTGCAGCGACTCAAGGTAGGAGCTAAGCTGGCTGGTGTCTTAGTGTCACGCCTGGGGGCCCGGTTGTGCTGGGAGCTGCGCAGAGAGCCTCCACTCCTAATAGATGAGACCGACGAAGGGGGTGAGAGGGGAGGTAGAGACTGTCCAAGGGGACACACACCAGATCAGTGGCACAGCTGGGGATAGAACCCAGGAGTCCTGGCTCCCAGCCCCCGCTCTAACCACTAGACCCCACTCCCCTCCCAGAGCCGGGGAGAGAACCCAGGAGTCCTGGCTCCCAGCCCCTCGCTCTAACCACCAGACCCCACTCCCCTCCCAGAGCCGGGGAGAGAGCCCAGGAGTCCTGGCACCCAGCCCCCCTGCTCTAACCCACCAGACCCCACTCCCCTCCCAGAGCCGGGGAGAGAACCCAGGAGTCCTGGCTCCCAACCCCCCTATTCTAACCCACCCGACCCCACTCCCCTCCCAGAGCCGGGGAGAGAACCCAGGAGTCCTGGTTCCCAGCCCCCCCTGCTCTAACCACCAGACCCCACTCCCCTCCCAGAGCCGGGGAGAGAATCCAGGAGTCCTGCCCCCCCCACTCTAACCACTAGACCCCACTCCCCTCCCAGAGCTGGGGATGGAACCCAGGCGTCCTGACTGCCTGCTAGTCAAACTGCCTCCTCAGTAGTGTGGGCTGAATGTTTCCAGCTGCAAGTGGGTGTGGTGGGGTCACACATGGGACCATGTGGCTGCGGGATTCCAAGTGACTGTCTCGGGCGCCTGTCTCGTCGTGGTGCTGCCGTTCGTATTCATTCGCCCACTGTATGCAGACCCCGGTTCCTGGGCAGTGAGCAGCAGCTGATCCAGTCACAGTCAGCCCAGGGTCAGGCCATCTGCCTGGGACTTCATCTCCATGGGCCCAATTTTCCTCTCCAAGATCTTGGGGTGCAAGGGGGAGCCCAGCAGGCCCCCTGCTGGCAGGCAGGGGTGAAACGCACAGGAGCCCAGCTGAGGGGAGCGCCCTGTGCGCAGAGCTGGCAGGGCACTGAATGCCGGCCGCGAGCGCTGCAGGACGCGGGTTCGCACACGCCATGTTAGAGGGGCTGCCCACAACCAGCTGATCCCCACGGCGCGAACAGCAGCAAAGTGGCTGCCTGGTTCCCAGGGGCGCTCGCTGTCAGGTCTCTGTCGAGCCTGGCGACTGGGAGGAAGGTACAGGGCAGCGTTCAGTGAAAAACACCAGTACAAATGCACCCGTATTGTGGCTGAGGGTGCAGAGCCTGTCCGTGAAACCTGGACCTCCACACTGAGCACGAGGTCGGGCCGCCCCACGGCGCTCAGCTGCATCCGAGCAGACAGGCTGGTGGGTCCCTAGACGAGCTCCTGAGCTCTTGGCACCAGTGTGTGTGTGTCCCGGGAAAGCCGGCACCAAATGAGATGCCGAGGCCGCAGGCTAGCTTCACCCCAAGCTGCCTGCCAGACAGACGGCTCCGGCGGGGGTCAGTTTGGTGACTGCTCCCTCCGCAGGTCATGACCTCGGGCTGTGAGACGGTCGACATGACCCTGCGGCGAAACGGGCTGGGCCAGCTCGGCTTCCATGTGAAGTACGACGGGACGGTGGCCGAGGTGGAGGACTACGGCTTTGCGTGGCAGGCGGGGCTCCGGCAGGGCAGCCGGCTGGTGGAGATCTGTAAAGTCGCCGTGGTGACGCTGTCCCACGACCAGATGATCGACTTGTTGCGGACCTCGGTCACGGTGAAAGTGGTCATCATCCCGCCCCACGAGGACGGCGTCCCTCGCAGGTACTGCCCCCGCGTGCCGGCGCCAGCGCTCTGCCCCAAGGGCTGATCGAGGTGTTAGAAACGCGCTACCGAAGTGCAGTGCCGGGGGCTCGCTTAGCAAGGCACTGTGGTGCCAGGGCGGCTTGGCGGGAGCTGAACTGCTGTTAAGTGTTCATTAAAAGGGAAAGTATATTGAGGGGAGTGCAAACAGCGGGGGACCCACAGTGATCTGGCTCCGCCCCCTGGGGCAATGGCTGACAGAGGGCTGGGCCATGAGCCTGGCTAACCCCTGACGCATGAGAGCTGGGGCTGGGGGGGGAGCGTTGCTCAGAGTTGTCTGGCTTTGATAGGGTTAAGTTGGGCCCATTTATGAACAGATTTGCATGTGGCCCCTGCAGCTTTCTCTGTGCTTTGACTTCTAAGTCACGCCTGCTCTGCAGGTTTGCAGGGCAAGTTCAGACAGTGATAAACTTGTAGGCAGCTTCTCCTCCCAAATCAAACCCCAAACCCGGCCGTGGACCGAGCTCTGCACACCAAGGGTGGCTCCTGGAGCGGTAGCGTGTGGCAGGGATTGGGAGCCATGCTTTCTGCTCGGAAGCCAGATGGCTGATGTCTTAGAGCAGGGTGCAGGTACCGTAATGGCCTCAGCTAAAGGGGAGTTGTGGGAAGTTGGTTCCTGCGCTAGGAGCGGGGAGCGAGGGGCTGGCTCGTGCGCTGACACGCAGCCCAGGGCGGTGCAATGACCTTACTGTGCCGCAGGTCCCAGTTAGCCGCAGGGCCGAGGAACTGTTTCGGAGCATCGGGGCTTGTTGGATTGCAGCTAAGGGGCGAGGAGATGTACAGCATGGAGCGCGCTCCTGCCCTTCCTGTGCCTGGGCTGGGCGGAGTCACTGGGATTTGAACCCCGAGTCTCTTAGGGCCTGTTTACGCTAAGGACGGGCTCTCAAAGCTCCACACGTCCGCACTGCTGTTTAGCGCTTCCCAGGAGAGAGCTCCAGCGTAGCATACATGGAGAGCGGGCGTGGCCCTGCCATGCTCCCAGGGGTGTCAGCACCTGGGCCTCCTCGCAACGCCGGCGCAGCGCTCGTTTCTGCTTGTGCTGAGAGGGATTTTGCTCAGCAAGCCGAGGGGCCCAACTAAAGTGCAGTGGAATTTGCCATCCGCGCTCGCTCCCTGGCCATTGGTGACCTCGTCTGTCGCTCCCTTTGGCAGGGAACGTTTGTAACCTCGGCTCTTAACGGCAGCAGCGGAGTTAGGACCGTTGGCCGTTACAGTTGGATTCCTCCAAAGCTGTTGCCATTTCCCTTAGGCCCAACCTTCCCATGGCGGGTGCGAAATCCATCGACCGGCCCCGTCAGTGGCCGGGTTTCAGTGGGAAGGGCTGTTACCTCACCGCTGAAAATCAAGCCAGGCGTCCAGGAGCCTAGGCATGGCTCTCGTTGCCTGTCGGTAGGCAGCCAAGCCCCAAGCCGTTGTCCTTCAGGGTTTCCCCCTCGGCTCTTTTGAACAAAAAGCTCCCAGTAACACTAAGAAATCTGGAGCACTCTCTTGCCCCGAAGCGAGGAGGTTTGCGCTGGCGAGGCCGGGCGGTGCTGCTGCCTCGCTGCCCATAATGAAATGAAGCAATGAGGGGCCGGTGCAGGCCCCTTTCCACCAGGCCCAGCCGTTGCCAGCTGCTGAGGGCCCTGCACGGGCCTCTGGCAGCCTGCGGCTGCGGCCTAGCTAGTGCAGGGGCAGGACTTGCTCCGGACACGGTTTTGCACCAAATGGGATGTGCAGGAGGGTTTTCGAAGCAGAGCCGGGGGCTGGGGCAGCAAGACGATGAAGCACCGAGCCAAGCGGGGGCTCTCCCACGGCCGGGGCCACGAGCACCGAGATGGCTGTAAATCACTCAGTGGGATTCCAGCCTGGGTACATCTGGTGCCTTTCCGGCGCGGCGAGGGGGCTGTGGGTGGGAGGGGCGCAGCGCACTCCCCTCCAAGGGCCACGAGGGAGCCTGGCCTGAGAAGCACCCTAGCGGGCAGGGGTTTGTCCGCCCGTCTTTAGGCTCCTACGTCCTGGTTTTCCCCACGTGTGGCTAAGTAGGTCACCTCCTCCGTTCCAGCTGCCTGTGTGTCGTCCTAGCAAGCAGCAGGGAGATGCTGCCGCTGACACAATGGTGTGCGATTAAACGGGCTGAGCCCGTGTGGGGAAGGCAGCACAACCTCCAAGGAGCAGCGCCTCTGCCCCCCACTGCTGCATGGGCGGGGCGGGGGGGGGCACGCAGTGTCCTTCGCCCCTCAGCAGGGGAAGAGGTGGCATTAGCTGCCCGCCCCGTCGCTCATGCAGAGACTCTCGCGTGCCGGCAGCAAGGAGTGCTGTTTGCTTTTCAGGGGATGGGCCGAGTCCTTCGAAATGAGCAGCATGGAGCACAAGGCAGAGCTGGAGAGCGTGCCCGCGGGGCATCGCCCGCCGTACCGCAGCAACTCAGCATGGCAGTGGAGCGGGCCTGCCTCCCACCACTCCTCGCAGGCAGCCAAGTGGGCAGAGCCCCTGCCCCTCACGAGGCCCCCCAAACAGACCTCCGTCGTCCCGTACCGTGAGCCGCAGCCCCTGCACGGCAAGAGGTAAGGCTGAGCTGCGGGGGGCGGAGGCCGAGGGGCAGTCCGTGGGGTGTAGCGGCTGGGGTGACCTGTGGCTGGGGACTGACCGGTGCGGCGCCGAGCGAGTGAGAGCCATGGTGCACAAGGCTGACACTGGTCAGTACATGAGGCTTTCAGAAATGGCTCGTGTGTACATCTGAGCCCTGCGGTGCCCCCCAGCTGGGTGACCGCCAGGTTCACCCTCCTGCCTGGGCCGGGGTCCTGCGGTGGGTGCAGCAGGCTGGGAAAACAGGGCCTAGCAGGCGACACTCCCAATTTACCGTGGGCACTTGCAAGAGATGGTGGAAATCTGCCTCTTCCAAGGTGGTTACCGCAGGTGCGGCGGGCTCCTTTCGGCCCGTCCTGAACGCTGGGATTCCAGCTGTTGGGGGCAGATTGAACCAGCAGCCTTTGATCTCGCTCCCGAGGAACACCTCCGGTGCGCAGTCCCCAGCCTGCGTTAGCCACGCCCTGAGCCGAGCCAGCGGGGTTTCAGGCTGCTCGCGGCGATCAGCCATTTGCCTTTTGCATTCCAGCTCCCTTCCGGTGATGGTGGTGGTGGTGGGGGCGGGTCTGTTCAGTGCGGACTCCTGAGAACTGAAATGGACCAGCGGCTCCCCAGCGGCATCGCGCCAGCCGGCTTTGATGCACGTTGGGTCCTCTGAGGACCCCTTTGCATTAGTGTCTCGTTCTCTCCAGCTGAGAACGGGAAGCAGGAACCGTGGATGTGGTTAGGGTGGCTAGCAGCGCAGTGAGGGGCTGAGCCGGGACAGCCCAGCGGTAGCATCCGGTGCCACTCGCCAGGGACTCTCCTGTGTGAGGAAGTGTCACCTGCCATTCACCGAAGAATGAACGTGCGCACACACGTACACACACGCACCCCAGTGACCGGGCTCTGCACTGTCCATGTTCTCCGGCTCCGCGGCCCGTCGCGTTGGTCAGTATTTGCCTTGCCCGAGTCTCTGCCCTTTCTGGGCTGATTGTTCTGCTCTCTCACCGCGCTGGGCTGGGTTTCTGGGGGATGTTGGAATCTTTAGGGCAGACCAAGCACTTTCTTTCTCTGTGTGCGTCTCTTTGACCCAGGCCGGTTAGCTTCCCTGAGACGCCGCACACCGCCGCCGCCTCCTCCCCAGCGGGGGCGGAGAGAGTCCAGCCATATCGGCAGCCGTCGGGCAGCTTCTCGACTCCAGGCTCGGGAGGAACGGCTTACGCCCGCTACAAGCCATCCCCAGAAAGGTAGGCTAAGGAACGGGGGAAGGTGCTGGCCTCTCCACCCCGCTGCACGAGTCTGATAGCCCGTCCAACCGCCGGCAAGCCAATGTCGGGGGGAGTGCCCCTTTTCACTACGGCCCGTATTGCACAGAGGGGATCTTCCATTGCCAGCAATGAACGCCTCCATCCTCCCCTCTGAGCCCTGGCCAGAACAGAGTACTCAGGCCAAGGGAGCCGGGAAGGGGCAACTCTGTTTCAGCAGGAGGGGAGGCGTGAGAGGGCTGGCGACACGTCATTCTCATGGCCAGGTACTGCAGCTTTTACTCTGCCCTGGCTCAGCAAAACTCCTCCCCGTTGAAAGTCCAGAGAGTCCTGTCGGTGCTGGGTGAGCGGGAGCCCGTTGGGCGCTCTGTAGTGCAGCGGCCGGGACAGGAGCCGCGGCCGGGTGCCAATCCCCTTGCTGTAGACTATTAAGCATTCAGGAAGATGGGAGCAGCTGCCCCAGATGTGGCTGCTGTGCACTGGCCTGTTACAGGAGTTACCCTTCCTTTCTGGGCTGTCCCTGTCCCTCTGCCCGCCTGGCGAGCCCTGGCAGCCGTTACCTGAGCTCTGAAGCCAGAGCCACGTGCCCCTGGATCTGGCTAAGAGCAGGGTGTGTTTATAATGGGGTCGGGCTAGCTGCTCTCACCCGCACACAGCACGGCCACAGGACATGCAGGGCTCCACTCACCAGCCATCTCACTGGTAGCATTCGCTTGGGGTAGCGGTGCTGGGGACCCCTCGATCCAGCCGGGGAAACGCCCCGGGGTCGGCTGTCAGGGGCCCTGGGGACCCCTCAATCCAGCTGCAGCAACTCTGAACATGAGGCCCCCTCCGCGGTAGCTGAACAGCGTTCCCCTCCTCTGGCGAACCTCGGCCGGGGTAGCGAACAGAGCGAGCGTGCGGCGTAGGTTCCCCCTCCCCTTTCCAGCCAGGTGGCACAGGCTGTAGGCTGCCTGCACGGCCTCAGAAGGAGCGAGCGTGCTGAGAAGTGCCGGAGCTGGTACCCTCAGGAGAGAGCGTGTGGTGGCTGGGAGGGAGCAGTGTCTCTGGGAAGAGAACTCTTCGTGGAGCGGTTATCCCTGAGCCAGCCTGCCCAGAGGGATGTCCGGGGAGGCACTGGGGGTCACCGGCAGCGCTAGGGGCTTGCAAGGGCCTTGCGTGAGCTGCTTCCCTCATCTGGAGCAGAGCCACCTGTATCGATGCTGCCCTTGGCGGGACCCACCTGAGAGCGCCAATTCAGGACAGATTGCTCCGAGCAGGGCAGTCCCAGCCCCAGGCTGAGGGTCCTTGGCACACCCAGGCAAACCAAACCAGCCAGCCAGAGAGGACTTCGGTCTCACCCCACTGGCTACCCACAAGTCACACAAGCAATTCCCTCAGACACTCCAGCTTCCCCGTATCACCACCAGGGCCATTGTTATGGGGACGAACGGTTATGAAAACCAATCCCCCAGTAAAAGAAAAAAGGTTCTCCTGATCCCAAAGGACCAAGCCCCAGACCCAGGTCAATATACAAGTCAGATCTTTCCCACAAATCACGCTGTTGCCAATCCTTTAGAATCTAGAATCGAAAGGTTTATTCGTAAAAGGAAAAAGATACAGATGAGAGCTAGAATTGGTTAAATGGAATCAATTACATACAGTGATGGCAAAGTTCTTGGTTCAGGCTTGTAGCAGGGATGAAATAAACTGCAGGTTCAGATCAAGTCTCTGGAACATCCCCAGCTGGGCTGGGTCCTCAGTCCTTTGTTCAGAGCTTCTGTTTGTAGCAAAGTCCCTCCAGAGAAGCAGGATTGAAGACAAGATGGAGGAGCTGCAGCAGCCTTTTATAGTCTCTTGCCATGTGGCCTCTCTTTCTTTGTCCCAAAGACACCGATCCAGCACGTGGCATAGAAAAACCTCAGAGTTCTGTCCACGGGCAGGTCCCTGCCAGGGCCGGCTTTAGCAGGTGCGGGGCCCCATGCTGGGATGCGAATTGTCTCGTGCCCCCCCCCCGACTCCGCCCCCTCCCTGCCCCATTGGATCCCTCCCCAAATCCCTGTCCTGGCCCCGCCTCTTCCCCCAAGCACGCCGCATTCCTCCTCCTCACCCCTCCCTCCCAGGCTTGTGCTGATCAGCTGTATTGGCGGTGCAAGCGCTGGAGGGAGGGGGGAGGAGCAGGACGCAGCTTTTTTTTTTTTCCGCTCCGCCGGCAGCCCTGGACGTTGCGGGGCCCTCTTAGGCGCGGGCCCCATTCCGGGGAATCGGCTGAATCGGCTTAAAGCCGTCCCTGGTCCCTGCATACCTTGCTGAGTCACAAGGTGTATCTGCTTCTCTCAGTGGGTCAGTTGTAGCTGATGGGCCTTAACGGGCCATCAAACAGGCTAGGCAGAGCTGACACCAACTTGTCTGGGATGTCTCCCAGAAGCATAGCACAAGTGTGAAATACAGACAGTATAGAGCCAATATTCATAACTTCAACTACAAGAATGATACACACACATACAGACAGCATAATCGTAACCAGCAAGCCAGAACCTTGTCTTAGACACCTTATTGGGCCCCCTTTATACGAGATTTGGTGCCATTACAGGACCTTGGTTGCACCAATGATCTATACGGTCCCAGTTCATGTCAGTAACGTCACACCCTCGCCCCCCGAGTGCCGGGCCCCCTTGCACCAGCGCACCCCTTCTGGCTGTGCTGCGAATTCCTGCAGTGTAGGCTGGCCTGTAGCCGGCTGCCGCGGGGTCTCCTGGAACAGGCGTGTTCTGCACCAGGGTTCGCCCTGAGCCGTCTGGAGCTAGGGCCTGCCCGTGCTGAGCCCAGCTGGAGGCCAGGGGGAGATTGTTCCCCATTAGTGTGGAGGAGCCTGGTGCAGTCACTGGTGCCTGTGCAGAGCACGTGCTAAGCGGGCGTGAACCCACGCTTGGCTGCTGGTGCTGCGCCCCCTCCTGTGCAGGAGTCACTGGCGATGCAGGGTTTGTGGTGATGCCGTGGGGCTGCACTAGGCCTGCTGCCCCCCACCAGTGGCATGGGGCTTCCTTCCACCGCACCATCCATTTCCCCCGTTTAGTTCTGGGCCCCGAATGGGGCTGCGGGGCTCAGCTCAGACGCTCCCACCCCGCAGGCTCCTGGAGCCCGGGCTCCAGACACACCTCAAGAGACACATGATCACCTCTCACCATGCGGTGGGGGAGTGCCGGGATCTCCAGCCTCCTGGCATCGGCCGGCCCCGTTGGGCTCGTGTCTGCCCAGACGGGACGCTCGTGTGACGTCGGGAGGTGCTACTGGCTGCTTGGCATCTCGTTCTCTGCCCCTCGGGGGGCACTGCCCGGCCAGCAGGCCAGCCAGGGAACCCAACCCACCGTCTTGGTAGCCAGCTCCCAGGGAGACACGGCCCGTTCAAACCATTGTCAGTCACAGTCTGCGCTACATGAGCTCCGAAAGGTCCCAAGTTAGGGTGCTGCACGCCGCCCCCCCCCAAACCGAGATCAGGGCCCTGTCGGGCCAGGTGCTACATGGTGTCACGGACTCCCAGGTCATGCCCACTCTTGGCCCCATGCAGTCCGTGGGGGGAGCCCCTTTCAGTGAGACAGCCCTTCTCGGGGGTCCCCTCTCTCTCAGGGTCAGGCCTCTCCACCTCCTGGAGCCGCACCTCTCGGAGCCTTAGCACGTCTGTCTCTGCCGTGGGCCCCTTCAGGGATCCACTCGCTCTGGACCCCCGGGGCCTCCACCCCCAAAGGGGTTGATGCCCCCTGTTCTCTAGCCCAGAGCGACTCTCAGCCAGCGTAACACAGGAGTTTTATTGAGCGTCTGACCCCAGCACAGGAAACTCTCCGGGGCCTCAGGCCTGGCCTCCCTCAGCACAACACATCCCAGTCTCTCTGCATCCAGGTGGGCTCTGCCTGCTCCCCCTCTCCAGCCCAGAGCCCCCCTGCTTCCCAAGTGGGCATCTGAGATCCCAGGCCCCAAGCCCCGCCTCTGTCCATTGTCTTCTCTCCAGGGAAACAGGGTCGTAAACAGGGTCGCCTGGGCCTCCTTTCCTCTCAGCCCTCCTGGAACCGGCTGGTCAGGTCACCGGGGTCCTCTCTCCTCAGCCCATTGTCCTCCCACTGGCCAGAACCGGCTGCTCGGGTCACCAGTCGCTGGGGTATCCATCCTCCAGGCCATCGGCTGGGGTCCCAAGTTCCTTCTCCTGTCCTCTGTAACAACAAACTCCCTCTCCCCTCCCTCGTTAAACCAGTAACACCAGGGACACTGAGTCCCACCCCCTCCGCATGCAACCCACTGGAAAATACAAAAAAAACCCAAGAAAATCCCCCACTTTGTCACACATGGACACCCCCTGCCCGAGAGCAGGGGGGACCCCATCAGACCGGGCGCTGCACAGACACCCCCCGACCAAGAATGAGGGCCTCACTGGGCCGGGCGCTGTGCGGACACATCGGGAGACCCAGCCCCGCCCCAGAGCTCCCAGTGGGAACAGCCGCTCTCTAACCTTCGAGCCCCGACTGAGCAGACTGCCAATGAACCGGCTCCGGTGCGGAAGCCGCCGCAGCACGTGACTCCAGGGGCGTGGGCATGTGGTGGGGAAAGGCCCAGCTGCACCCTGCTCCTCGGAGAGCACTGGGGGGTCCCTTGTCCAATTGCTCTCTCCGAATCCCCAGCAATCACACGGGCGGGCTGTGGTCTTCGGCTGTGCGTTGCCTGCCTTCTTCCTGCACGCTGCCCCCAGACCATGTCTGGTGAGTTCGGATCCCCTAGCCTGCAGCTCCAGGCTCCGCACTGCGTCCTCCTGGGCTGTCTGCCTGGTGCCTGCGTTCAGCGGCAAGACGTCCAAGGGTTTTCATTGCACATTCTGCCTCTTACTCATCTCACAGCTCTTTTCCCCTCCCCCCCCCCCCCCC